TTAAAAAGCACTTCAGGTGATTCTAATGTGTGGTCTCAGTGCAGAATCACTGCTGCAGGCAATAAGGAACCAGTGAAGAATTTTAATCAGGGGAATAACATGATCAGATTTACATTTTAGGAACGTAGATCCCTCCCTGGCTTTTCTGCTCAGATCTTTCAGTAACCACATGAATGTATATAGAGACTTTATAAATAGTAGCCCAAACCTGAAAGCAACTCAAACGTTCCTCAACTGGCAAATGGATAAACTCTGACATATTATTCAATGAAATACCAGTCAGCAATAAAAAGCCCCACTACCGCAACCCTAGTAACTCTCTGTATTTATGCAGCCTCAAGCTCTATCTGCCAAGACAGAATCTGCCCTTATTTCATGAGGCTTGTCTGTTGCCCAGCCAAGCTTTCCTATTAACCTCAGCAATACCATTCTCCAATTGTCACTCAAGCCAGAAACCTCATTCATATTTTCTTCATTTTAAAAAGTTATGATTTACATACAGTGAAATTCACCCTTGCAGTTCTGTGTGTTTTGACAAACCCTTTAGTTGGGTAGACATCACAGTTGAAATAGAGGACAGGTCCATCACATCCCCAAATTCCCTTGTGCCCCTTTATAGCCAACTGTCAACTCATAAGATGCTACCAAGTGTTTGCCAAAGTGACTGTAACATTTTATGTTCCACCAGCAAAATATGATGGGTATAGTTGCTCCATATCTCTACATTCTCACCAGCACTGGGTACCTTTTTCATTGTCATTTTGATTTGTCTTCAGCCATTCAAATGAGCATCTCATTGTGGTTTTAATTTGCAATTTCCTAATGAAAAATGATATGAACATTTTTGCATATGCCTATTTACCAATCTGTATATAATCTCTGAAGTACTTGTTCAAATATTTCGCCCATTTTTTCTATTGGGTTGTTTATTTGTAAAATCATTTTTTAATGTCCCTGATTGCCTTTCTCTATAACCAAGGCAGTCAGTTTTTCCTCCATTACAATAATCAAATTTTATTTTTCTATTATTAAATATCCCTCTATGTCCTGCCTCCTGAAACGAATAGCATCCTCTGGTTAGATTCAGTGGCCTTTCTCATGTGAGGCCATTCTCTCACAAAGCTGAATTTTCCAAAAACTCTCATTTGTCTAATGAAGCTTTCATCTCTGTTCCGCATCCTGCTCTGTATAATTCAGACTCCCTCAATATCCACAGCAGCTCCAAACCTGCGCTTAGCCAAAGCTATCTTGCATTGTCTCTTTTTCCCCTTCTGTTCCCCCTCATCCTCCCCTTTCATGTTGAAGGCTTTCTTTTAATGTCTGGAAATCCTTAACTGCCCACCCACACTTGAAAAGTGGGCCCTGAGCACATGGAACAGCTTCTAGGTTGGTGAGCTTCTCCCCAAAGGCTAAGACAGGAGAATCCTCTAAATACGAGCACTCCTGATTCTCTCTGTTGTCATTTCCTCCTGGAAGAATGCTACTGCCTCCTCCCTGTAGCTGTGTGTCTCAGGAAAGCACGCACGAGGGAGCCAGGGTTCCAGCAGGGCTAGTGAGTCTCCCCAGCACGTGAACTCACTCGGCCTCTCAGTGGTCAGTGGGGAGCCTCCTCTCTGTCCCCAGGACAACCTGCTTTCTCTCCATCCAGAGACTGTCTCATTTGCTCTTGGGAGGGAGTGAACTTGCTTTCTTTAGCTGGAGGGACACACCTGGCGAGGCGGGTTGGGGAGGTACACCTGGATGTCTNTCCATCCAGAGACTGTCTCATTTGCTCTTGGGAGGGAGTGAACTTGCTTTCTTTAGCTGGAGGGACACACCTGGCGAGGCGGGTTGGGGAGGTACACCTGGATGTCTGCTCCTAATTCATGCTCTTTTTCAGCTTCACTTTACTCTGGCCCTTTAGCCTGCCTGGTGGGTCCATTTTTTGAGTTTTTATGGGGTTTGAGACACATACTGTTCTGATCGCATCTGATCTTACAGGTGCCTGGGCCTCACTTCTGCTAACCCACAACAGTGACCACTCATCATGTTCTTATCATTTCTTTCAAAATTTGACTTTATTTTTCTTCTTGTCCTTATAATTTCACATTCTTTTCATTTATTTAATTTTACTGTATCTAGAGGCAGTAGAGAGAAACCTAACTTCAGTATATTTCTTTAACAAAAAGCAGCCCTAATTTTTAAATATAATTCTTCACAGGACTACTGTGAAATTTCTTAATCATATTTAGTTTATAAGGAACAAGAATCCAGTCAAGCCTATTTACGTAAAGGGATATTTCATGAGTGGGCAAAGAGATGTCTCACAGAATCCGAGTGCCGGAAAGCCTCAGACAGGCTGGAGAGAGGAACCAGGAAGACTTCAAGGGCCAGGGTGGATACTAGCAGCACTCTTCTCTGTAGCCCTCTACTTACTTTCCTTACGTAACATTGGTGTCCTTCTCTTTCTCTCCGTGAAAACCCCTTTTTTCTGATTACTCATCAGCATAGGATCTAAACTAACAATAACAGACCCCTAATCTTCTAATTCTAGGAGCTTGTACTAACTAATTCTCAAGTCTCAAATGAGGTGACCTGGCTGGCCCAGGTCTGGAGCACATGTCTGCCCACACCAGCATCTGAGGGCAGGGGTGGTAGGCTCCAAACGCAGCAGCAGCAGCTAGGGCCATTGCAGGGGGACATTTCTCCCAGAGCAGGGCCACTGAGATGTATCTACCACATGAAGATTAAATAAGTAATGGACATAAGTGTTCTAGTACTTAATAGATATCAAATAACTTTTTTCTCAAATAGTTTCAAATTTATGGAATATCTTTTCTCTATATCATCCTTTATAATTTCATTAAAACAGCTTACTCCCAAAGTTTAAAAGATATTATAATTTACTAAAGAAAGAAAATGAAAACTAGTAATTTTAGTCAAGTGGCTCAGAGAAGCTATACATGGTGATGGAAACTCAGAGCATGAGGAACATGAATGTCTGCAGAGATCCGGAATGAGAAGGTGCTTGAGGTACAAGTTTCTAGGCCAGAATCTACAGCTTGATGACCAACACCCAGAGCAAGCCCCGGGCTTCTTCATATGGTCTGAACAGTGTTAAAGTGAAAATTCTAGAACAAAACCAATAATGGATTAAAAATATAAATGGAACTGTATCAATGAGAAGAAACAGTTTTACTGAAAAGTAGGTCTAAATCTCAGGGGCAAAAATGAAATATAAAAGAGGAGTCAAAAATCTATATGTGTTCAATTTTGTTTTAGAATTACCATAGCTTTGGAATATTACTTTCCCCAAGAAGCATGTTTTTCAAGAATACTATGTAATGGTACTGCAATGACACAAATGTCATAATTTGAAATACTAAAGGTAATAATGCAAAACTAGGGAAATAATTGTTTGTTTATTTAAAACACTCTTACAGAATTGGAACCAATTAATTTTTTTTAAGGAATACAATCAAGCAAATGTTATTTCCAAAATTTTGAGATCAAATAGACACAGATTGGTCTTAAATATTCTAAGCACACACAGGGTGTATTTCTCTGGCTTGTAAAGGTTTGCATTTTTCACAGTTCACTGAACAAAACGTCAAGGAGAAATCTCAGCTCTTGGTTCTGTAGATTATATTACAAAACGTAAAAGAAACTGTGCGCTTTCCTTAAAAACAAAAAAAATGTCACCACCTACAAAACCCTTTTGGTCTGTACTCATTCAAAACCTGTTCAAAGTCTTTCTCTCCCTGATTTAGAGCATTAGGATCCATGCAGCACATTCACCCTTAGACAAGCTGGGCTGCAGGTGCAGACTTGGGAGGGGAGGAGAAGAACTGGCCTTTACAGGGTCAGAGGAGAGAGGTCTGCTAGACAGTCACCCCACTCCTTGCAGGAAAGCATAAGAAACAGGCCCCTCTCCTTTGGTTGACATTGGGCCTGGTAGAGGAGTCCAGAAAGAACACATGTGTTGTGAATGCTTCTACACACAACATTGCCTCAAAGAGATTCCCTAACTGAAGGGCCCAAAAAATCTCCTCAAGTCATGTGTGCCTGTGCTTGGCTAACATACCCTGTAAAGCCACAATTCCAGACCCTCCTTGTATTTTATCAACTACTATACCTCAGGCTTGAACTGGATGAGTGGAATATTTCTGCTTGGGATTCTCCTGGTTCCTGAAGCAGAAAAAGTGAACTCCTGTTGAGGGGCTGGAGTGGGGAGTAATGGTGTTTTACTGAATTCCAGTCCAGTTTTTCTTTCCCAGTAAGGCTGAAACTTTCTTTTCTCCTAAAGTGCCTGAGGAATTCATTCCTGTCCACTAACCACCCAGGCTAGTTTATGTCACAGAGCCAGAGCTACAGTCTAGACTGTACTGCTCTGCCTGTGATTCTTTTCAATACTAAAGTCCACTACTTTGTGGGATACCTTTTAAATCTGGGTGTGCTAAAGCACTGAAGGATGCTGTGAAGGGAGGTCGGTGAAGGGAGGCCAGTCAGTGTGCTAGGCCACCCAGGTGTGCTGACTTGTGCTAACACAAGTCAGGCTCCTGCCCTCCCACAGAGAAGGCGAGACTAGGACCCCATCTGTCTGGATGATTCCATTTCACAGGGATGGCTCCCAGGTCCTTGAGAAAGACATTTCTGAGGTGTAGAAGACACATCTCAAAAGGACAGAGGAAAGACACACAGTGGCGAGTTTTGTACAGTAAATGCTCTACACAAAGGGAGATAAGAAGCCTAGAGATAGATTTCAGCTAAAGAAACAGCAACTTCTTCTGGAAGCCCTGAGCTTCCTCAGGAAGCCATTTGAAGGAGGCTGAGGTTGTTATCTTAATGAAATAGCCTTGAGCTGATAGAAGCCATGTTAGAGTTTATTCAAGTCTCCAGCACTTTAGTCAAGTGTGGGTTGCTGACAAAGTCATTTGTGAAAAGAGCTTGGCAATTCTTACCTCCATGATTCCTACCTCAATACTCATGGCTTTGCATAAACTTCCTCCTTTTGACTGCAGGTGAGACCTATGACTTGCTTCTAAGCAACTAATTTTGACGAAAATGAAGGTATGAACATGACTACGTTTATGTAATTATGTACATAAGATGGCAACATGAATTTTGTCAAGAGACAAAATTTTGTCAAATTTGGCTGACTTGCTGATCTTGATGAGAGGAGGACCAAGCGGCAACGAGGGACCATGGATGACCCCCAGCCGACAGCCAGTGGGGACACAAAGCCTGCAACCACAGGGGGACACAAAGCCTGCAACCACAGGGAACGGATTCTGCCAATGACCTGACTGGAATGAACCCTTTCTCAACAAACAATCAGAAGAGGCCCCAAACAACATCTTCACTGCAGCCTTGCAGAAAATGAAGTGTGCCCAGACTCCCGACCCACAGAAACCGTGAGATAATAAATGTGTTGTTTTAAGCTGAATTTGTGGTACTTTGTTACACAGTAATAGATAGCTAAAACAGTCAGAGCTTCCAAAAGCATGTGTAGTTGATTGAACACTTGTCTCTCATATCAGGCCCCACGGGAAAAAAAAGTTTCACATTCAAATCAGTGTGTAGAATGTTGTAGTCTTTATCCTTCACTCCCTTAGAGAGCCACACTGCATCCTGAGAAATACAATGAGTAAACTTCATTAAATCAGAATTATTTGAATTTGTTCTCCACTATAGAGACCAGCCCCATTTTTACTTTTTAACTTCTAGTACTATCTTATAAAACTAATTTTCAAATTATGATACCACAAAATAGTGGTTGCAAAGATCAATAGCCTTCAAGCTGAGGAATGTATCCCCTAGCAGAACATTAAAACCCGCAACAAGTACTTGCATGTGGTAATTTAAAGGGATTCAATTTACAGATTCTGACTTCCTTATATATTTTTTTTCCCAAACTAACCTGCCCAAGAATACTCCTGGAGAGAAGCCACATTACAGAGAAAGACATTCGCCCCACGATCCATCTAGAACCTCTAGATGACAAAGAAAGCTATAATTTGAAACATTGGTGTCTATGTTGAGAAAGTGAACGACGAGACTGGGTAATAAACTTTTTCTCAAACCAAATTTTCCTTTTTCCTTTCACACTGCAGAAGAGCTTACAGGATGGTAGAAACTGATGTAGCCATCTTTGGAAAATACAGTAAGCCAGTAATGGGCAAATTATTCATAAGTGAAAGTCTCCTCTTAGGCAATTAATGCAAAATGAAGTATGTTCAAGGATAGGGCTAGGACATCTCCTGGGACAAAATATAACCTAAAGATCCGAGCTGCTGTTGCTGAAGCCTGAGCACAGCAGCCGATCACAAAGAAAGAAAGAAGCTTAAAGAGCTCTGGGTGAATACACAGAGTTCATTCTTACTGCAAGGCAAGGAGGGAGTGGGTGATGAGGGAACACTGTGTGTTGCTAAATATGATCACACTGAGTCCTCACAACCACTCAAAAGGAAAGGGAGTTAATACTCATATTTTATAGGAGCAGGAGACTATACTTAGTTTCAGTGAGTTGCAGAACTAGAACTTGAACCCAGGGTTGGAGCTCCGAGTCCAGTGTGCTTTAAATGCCACACCATCAGGTGGGCTTTCTCCACCCTAGTGGAAAGATAGCTAATCAACCCCTTTGCTTCCGCCCTTTGAGGTAACACTTTATTTGCTTCCATTTATAGAGATTCTCACCTCTATAAAGAGGGATTTACATGTAACTCAAATTCCTGAGGTGTAAGCCTGCTCAAGTTGCATCCTTAACCTCTAAGCATTTAAGAGCAAACCATTCTGTTTTAGCTCATCAGATGTCTACAGAAAGACGATTGAGATTCTGGCAATCAGAAAGTACTTTTCTAATAAATAATGATATGGCTGAAAAATATTTATAGAAACCAATATCATTTAAATGACATAAATCATTATAGGAACTGAAACACACCAACCGACCTTACTATGGCTCCTTCTGTCCATTCCTAAAGTATATTTAATAGTTACACTGCATATGAAAAGGTTAAGTAGGATACCCAAGTGCTTCACTGCCTCTGAATGAAAGATACTGGGAAAGGAAGAGAGCAGAGGAAGCTGCAGGTAGAGGATGGAGGCTCCGAAGCTTACCTCCTCCATAGGCATGTGGAGGCGACAACTACCGATAACATAACTCACTCTGAAAACTACCTAAAGACTAGCGGAAGAGCTCTTCCACAGCTAATGACATAAAGAGAAGACTACATCAAGAAGGAAAAAGGGACAGAGATGTGGTCAGTATCCAACCCCAGCCACCCTATCCTGCAAGGCAAACCACAAGCAGGAGGGAGTGAAGGGATCATGATAGCCCCAAACCAGGCACCCTCAGCCCTGGGGATGTGCACTGGGAAGATAGACCCCCAAAATGTCTGGCTTTGAAAATCAGAAAAACTTAACTCTGGGAGCCTTCAAAAGTCAGTGGGGCTTAACTCCAAGAGGGCTTAAGGGCTATTCGAAACTGGATCTCCTTTCTTAACAGGTTGGTGTGTGCTGTATCCGTGGTCTGAGACCCAGCACAGGAGCAGATTAAAATGCACCTGGGTTGTATGTGAAAGAAATTGGTTGACTAATTTTAGGACATGCACCAGAGGAGCAGTGATATGCAGTTCTCCAGGAATGGAAGTGCTGGCAAGCAAAGTTTTCTTGTCCTCCTTCAGCCTAGCTGGCTGTCCACCTGCATCTGACACTCTCCATCTACCATGCTAGCCCCACCCCAGCATCCCCTGTGGACTTACCCCACCCAAACCACTCACTCCTGCAGACACCCCTCCAAAGTAATTCCTGCCCCACCATACCTGGCAGGTAGCTCAGAGGAGGGGAAGAGTTAGCCCCACCCACCAGAATGTCTGCAGTACATATAGCCAGGCCTCTCAGCCAGCCAGGCCTGAGTCAAATCCTGCCCAACAGTGCATCCACAGCAGTCAAGATCAGTTATTGCAGAGAACAGGGTTGAGGGCCCACCCTGCCCAGCAGCACACCCACAGTGGTGACAGCTGGGACTCACAGCCAGCCATGCTGGGGGCAGCCATGTTCACTACTGCACTCACAGTAGTCATGGCTGGTCAGTGCTGTCAGCTGTGCTAAGGGCCAGACCCACCCACCAGAATGCTTGCAGCAGGTGTGGCCCAACCACAATAGTAAGGTACATGCAGCCCATACAAGGGACACCTATAGAACACTTGCTTCTGGTCATCAGAAGGGATGGCCCTAGGGGGCACCACAAGATGCCTTCTACACTACTTTCTAGACTAGGAGATGAAACTGACCTAGCTGATACACGGAAACAAACAGAAACAAAATGAAGAGACAGAAGAATATGTACCAAACAAAAGAACAAGACAAAATGTCAGAAAAAAAAAGAGCTAAACAAAACAGAGATAAGCAATATAACTAATAAAGAGCTCAAGGTAATGGTTGTAAAGATTCACTGGACTGGAGAGAAAAATGGATGAATTCAGTGAGAATTTAACAAAAAGATAGAAAATATAACAAAGAACCAGTCAGAGCTAAAGAATACAATATGTGAAATGACAATATCAGATTAGAGGATACAGAAGAACAGATCAGGAAAAAAGTACAGGCCCAGATGGCTTCAAAGGGAAATGTACCAAATATTTAAAGAAGGGTTAGTACTTAATCCTTTCCAGAGAATTCCAAAAATTAAAAGACAAAGAAATTCTTCCACTTTCATTCTATCAGACCAGCATTACCTTGTACCAAAACAAAACAGAATAAAAGAAGAAATTTATAGACCAATATCCCTGATGAACAAAGATAAAATATCCTCAACAAAATATTAGCAATCCAAGTTCAAAAATACATTAAAGAATGATTCACCAAGATAACATAGGGTTTCTTCCAGGGATGCAAGAATGGTTCAACATCTATAAATCAAGAAATGTGATACACTACAATAATAAAAGCAAGGATAAAACCATATGACCATCTCACTAGCTGCTGAAAGGCATCTGATAAAATTCAGCACCTATTTCATGATAAAAACTCTCAACAAAGTAGCTATAGAGGGAACATACCATAACATAATGATGGGCATAACTGACAAACCACAGCCAATATCCCACTCAATGGTGAAAAGCTGAAAGTGTTTCTTCTAAGATCTGAATAAGACAAGGATGCTGGACTTGCTCCCAAGAGTTTTATTCAATATAGTACTGCAAGTCTTGGCCACAGTAATCAGACAAGAAAAATAAATCAAAGGCATGCAAATTTGTAAGGAAGAAGTAAAACTACCACTATTTGCAGATGACATGATACCATATACCAAAAAACCCTAGAGACTCTACTAAAAAACTTAGAACTAATAAATGACTTCAGAAAAGTTACAGAATACAAAGTCAACATACAGAAATCTATTGCATTTCTATACATGAATAACAAATTAACAAGAGAAATTAAAAAAACAATACCATTTATAAATGTAACAAAAGGAAGAAAATACCTACAAATAAAGCCAACCAAGGAGGTGAAAGACCTGTACTCTGAAAACTATAAGACATTAATGAAAGAAATTGATGACAACACAAATAAAAGGAAAGATATTCCAAACTCATGGATAGGAAGAATACTGTTAAAATGCAACCCCTACCAAAACAACAATAGCATCTTTCACAAAACCAGAACAGATAATCCTAAAATTTGTATGCCAAACAGCCAAAGCAATCTTGAGAAAGAACAAAGCTGGAGGTTTCCTGCTCCCTGATTTTAATCTCTACTACAAAGCTACAGTCATCAAAACAGAATATTACTGGCACAAAAATAGACACATAGATCAATGGAACAGAACAGAAAGCACAGAATAAACCTACACTTAGATGGCCAATTAATCTTCAATAGAGGAGGCAATGAAGAAAAGAGTCTCTTCAATAAATGGTGTTAGGAAAACTGATCAGCCACAAATAAAAGAATGAAAGTGGGCCATTTTCTTATACCATACACAAAAATAAACTCAAAATTGGCTAAAGACATAAATATAAGACCTGAAACCATAAAACTCCTGAAAGAAAACATAAGGATTAAACTCTTAGACACTGGCCTTAGCAATTTTTTTCTGGATACGTCTCCCCAGGCAAGGGAAACAAAACAAAAATAAACAACTGAGACTATGTCAAACTAAAAAGCTCCTGAACAGTGAAGGAAACCATTGAAAAAATGAAAAGGCAGTCTCCTGAATGGGAGAATATACTTGCAAATAATATATCCAATAAAGTTTCAATACCCAGAATATACAAAGAACTAATACAACTCAACACACACACACACACACACAAATAATCTGATTGAAAAATAGGCAGAGTACCTAAATAGATATTTTTCCAAAGAAGAGATATAGATGGCCAACAGACACATGAAAACAGGCTCAACATCAC